GATATACCGGTATATCGTTACACCCCTAGTATACACACATCAGTAGCAAGGTAAAGCCATGTAGAAGGGAATGGTAGGTTTTTTTTCGCGCCAATAGCGGCGTACGGGCCGCATTCTCAGCGCATGCATTTTGCATGCGATCTCACGAAATTTCAATGAACCCCGTTCTGTCCCAATATAACCCTCACCAAAATATAAAAAAGGTTATATGGGACAGAATTATTCGGTCTATACTCACTAGTACACTACGACTGACTCCTGTTGTCGACAGTGTTGTTGCTATTGCCGTATTTGCAAAACAATATCAATGTTTACACTACAGGGTAGCTTATGTAGTAATTTACCAGAAACTTGACTAACTTGGGTAGGCTGCGAGATGTGTATCCAATAACTATCATGATAGTTCTGAGGTTGTTTTGACTCCACAAGTTCTTGTCCGCTTTCTCAATGGAAAACTCGTAACCTTTCATACAAATTTCTCATGGTCAGGTGAAGATTGCCATTCCGTCGCATTCCCTCTTGCTCAATGAAGCCTGTTCGTAGCACTCGATCATGTGAGCGTAATCACTGCTTTCGACATGTGCCTAACATCTGTTTCGCTTTTGAAAATTATAGATGAAATGGAAAGCAATTAATTGCTGTCATATTTCAAGTTGTAGGCAAGTTATGTGTGACGGCTTGGTGAACATGTGGTTTGGTTGTTGAGTGGTAGCTCGGATGTAGTAGTAGTGGGGACAATAGATAAATGTATTGTGTAAACATCGCCTTACAAAGTGTTTATAATTGTGTTTTCAGGTATACGTCGCCACCGCAGACGGTTACCTTGTCACAGAACAGATTGATGAGTCCGGCCCGAGAACAACGCACATTGTCATTCATGACCAGACACTTGAAGAAAGTCTCAAAACTCCCGTGACACCAATAACCCCATTGACACCTGCCACAGAAAAGGCAGAAGGGAAATTTAAATATCAGTGGGATGACTCTGTCAATTTGCCTGTGTTGCCAGTCCGTTGCAAGAATACAAATGGAGAGATGCATAAAATTAGATTCGGTTCGGGTAAGACGTGTTGTGTAATGACTCCTAATGTATTTCTGTTTGTGAATATGTATTATATATTTGAATTTTTAATGAAAAGAGTCCAATATCTTAGCGTGAATTTATACTGTTATGGTTCAAAAAAGCACGAGTCAGACTGGAACCTGATTTTATGCAGATATAGTTATGCATGATACACAATGCCACATGGATTGTGATGATAACATATCACAATATATATATATATATATATATATATACATACATAATAGAGTGATGTGATATTACATCAGTAACAAATTACTTGTGCACAGCCATAAATTCCTCATTCTCCAAATGCTTTTGTTCCCAGGAGGTAGAGGGCGCTGCATTAAAATGGGTGACAACTGGTACACACCAAGCGAATTTGAAGCGGTGTCTGGAAGAGCGAGTAGTAAGGACTGGAAGCGAAGCATTCGCTACGGAGGCAGGTCACTACAGTGTTTGATCGAAGAAAACATACTGCAGCCGCATGCAACATCTTGTACCTGTGCTGCATGCTGTGATGATGAAACTGTGGTAAGAGCATGTGTAATTACAATTTTTCAACACATCCAGGGTTTCTTATACATAAGAGGCACAGTGGCGCCCCGCCGTAGTCAAATTTAATATCGCTGTTGTGAAAATGTTCTCAAATGCCGTCTAAGACATTCATATTTTTAAAATTTTGCTGGGGGAGACCCCCCAGAACCCCCCCAGTGAGAGGGGGAGTTCCCCCTCCATTTCCCCCCCCCCCCCGCATCTGCCTGCAGCGTCCGCATGCGTGCCTATGGCACGCCTTTGAATCCATCATGCATTTTCCCCCCATGCTGGCCATTATCTCTTTTGTCTAATTTTCCCTCAGAAGAAACCCTGACATCATAGAACAAATATTGCAATATGATTTATGCTATGGTCGTGTATATCTATGTCTCTGTCTCATTTCATATTTTTGCCCTGTGATTGCTAATAAGTGTTATTATTCTTGTGGATTAATAGTAAAGATTTACTTGATGATGGAAATAGCTGCCTGTCCCCCAGTCCGGGACTGGTAACTTTTGACCAGGACTGGGTTTCTTTTATGGATTTTGCTTTAGGTTTGATAGTAGAAATCAAAATTTTGAAAATTAGGACTGGCAGGGGTTTCAGATTTATTTCAAAGACCGACTTATAAATATAGAAAAATAATAAATATTCTTTTCAGACTGGACCTGTGAGATTGTTTACACCATATAAAAGAAGGAAATATTCAACAACAGTTTGTGATGGCGTTACCCAGGTATCGAAGAAAGAAGTGCACTCTTCGCTTGCTAAAGTGGATGGACAGTCCCTGACCAAAGATTGTATGAATTGTTGTAGTAATACTGTTCTTTGAACTTGTGTAATATGTGTCTTGTTGATTTTTTTAGCTCATCTGACATAGTCAGATGCAGCTTGTAGAATCGCTTGATCGTCCGTCCGTCCGTCCGGTCAACAGTTGGGCACAAATTGCTTAACGCTCGACGTACGGTCACGATATTCGGCACATTGGGGGGAATCGTCGCAAAAACGAGTTTGGGCTGTCGAAGCTGGGGGTCAAAGTCAAAGGTCAAGAGGTGTAAAAGAAGGGGGAGAACATTCAGCTCCTATAACCTTAAGGTACTAGGGAGAATGCACAGAATTGCGGCTACAAATTCTAAATGGATCGACTATGGCTGCTAGATAGTCGGTGTATGCATCATGGTAGGAAAAGCCATCACTGCGTGCCGAAAATTGGCACGGTCACAGGTCAAACGGCCAATGGGCACAGGCAGATTTGAGACATTTTCTGAGGACATGTCTGACGCGACGCGATTGAAAAACTTTCTTGTTCAGCGGTGACGCAGCATTTTTATGGCAGTTATTGAAAAGGACCATGAATCTACTTTCTGGACAATGCGAAGAGTAAGTGTCAGATAATGTTCCTTTTGACCGCAAAGAGGAGGGTAAAACCATGGATTTGTTGACTGTCTGTTCAGAAAGTAATTTGACTGCCCGGGGTTGCTAGTAGAATCTATACATGCCTGGATGTATCGAGGCTACAATAGATCAGCACGCTGAACATTTCAAAAGCTAAGATTTGGTTAAAGAAGGTTTATTGCTCCTTAAATGTATAATTTTATGCATCTGTAGTGTCAGTATGATTACATGTAAGTATGCCACTGCCAGTGGCTACTGCCAGATGCATGTGTTGGTGGCTACTTGTGGAGGTTTTTGCCTTAATTGGTTAAGTGGCAGGCTGCTCTATTTGCGCAGCCTGTAAGGCTTGCGTAGGTAATGGGATGAGTGCTTACCTATTCTGTTTGCATGATAGTTTTATCGTACTACGATATGATGGGAGGGTTCCATCTTTAAATCTGAAGACACTTAAACGTAGCGGCGCATCTCGTGGGCAACTTTCATAACGATCCCAACGAAATTCTTCTGAGAAGGTTCCTGATACCATCCCTGTGCATTCCACTGTTTCGGCGTGTATGTGAACACATTTGGGACTAACAGGGTTTACTAGAATCCCACCACTCCACCACAGAGTCACCGCAGTAGACGTTAGATGAGCGCTGTCGCTCTGCGGCACTTGTTTTGAAATAAGTGTCTAATAATTAATAAAAAACTTTCAGTAATGTGGCGAATAATTTCATTGTAAATGTATTAAATTTTACTGACATGATAAGCATTTATATTCATGTCGGTTTACGATTATTTATACCTAGTCTGGGAATATACCTATCTGGGAATAAATTCTTTAGAAAAGACTGGAGTTGAAAATGAGTTAGTTTGCCATTTTCGGAAATGAGACAAGAATGAAGACGTGTGATTGCCATGTGGGAATTCACCTGTGTGGTTATTTTCGATAGCCGTGATGGTGTTCACACCGACGTCGTCGATACGAGGGACCCTAACATCCGAGCCACAGACCATCCACGTCGTCACCTCCAGCAACGGCATTGTGGAAACCCACACGGGTACGTACACGCAGCCCAACAATAGTCGGCAGGTGTTTTTCTGCATCCACGTCTCATCACGAGATAACTGCATGCACCAGGGACTTGGTGTTTAAATGTGCCTGAGAAGTCCAGCGGGCCGAAGTGTGTTTAATTGTTACACGGTCTTTATCTGCATATGAGATACATATTAGACTGTTTGTATAGTTAACGAAAAGAATGGTAATCTAGTAGGCATACATTCGAAAGAATTTTCATTCAGTGTGACATACTAAAGCATAGCGTTCATGGTAATAACTATGACATTGTGTGCAAATTGTTTTAATTAAAGTACTTAAAACAATTTGCAATTTGCACTGCATGTAATAGTATCTGAAGTTTACACATCTGCTGCTGCTTGTACCTACTCATGGGAATTTCAGGTTCAGAGGCAGGTACTATGATAATGACACCCATGCAGACATCACCGGCCACACCCGTATCGGCCCGGCACAATGGCACCGTCGAAGACATGGACGAGGATAAGATTTGGTGGCAGCTAGAAGAGGTACGGCGGTAACACTCACGGTGTACCACACGCTCCTGTCGTTCGTGAAGCGCAGAAGAATGAAGCAGAAAGACGATCACGTTTCTCTCCGACCTTTCTCGACGCTCTGTCGCTATTGAGAACAGCGTGATGCGGCAGGCCTGACAGCCGAGATACACACCAACTGTGTGCGTGCGTGTAGCATGTAGCGCATGTAATGCGAGTGAGAATGTCGTCCTGTTGTTAACAGGTTGTTACAAGCGTGATACGGCAGGCATGAGAGCCGAGATGCACACAAACTGCGTGCGTGCGTATAGCACGTGTAATATAAGCGAGAATGTCGTCCTGTTATATATTATATTATTATATATATATTTATGTATACATTATATATTGGCAGGTTGCGACAAGCGTGATACAGCAAGCCCAGCAGCTCAAACATTTGATCACACAGAGCCGGCAGCACTTCATGAACGAGACAGAGGAGGCCATGCACGATCTCCGCAACCAGCTGGAGAACGAGAAGAAAGAGGTGACGAGAGCAAGCCTTAAAGGATTCATGTTCTCATATAAATGCACAATCTGAAAAATATAATGAAATATAGGCTCGCCCAATAGCGAGCAGATGAATGACTACTCCAGTGTAAAAATTACTACAGGTTTATGCTGTTATGGTATATAAAATAGCAAATAATGCAGCCACAATATTTCAGGTCTTGTAATTGTATGTGTAGTGCACCATATCACTCATTTGGGTCAGTCTCCTACAGCAGCAGCCAATGAGGATTTAAATTTTATGATATACTTTTTGATAGCTCCCTTCCAGTGGTTAGTTTGGTAATAGTTTCCTTCCAGTGTTCCCGCTCGCGTGTTTTACCCCCAGAAAAACTAACCCGTGTGTCTTCATCGCAGGCTCTGAATACGGCGCGCATAGAGGCACAGATGAACCTGTCACGTGCTGTGATGGAAGCTAGGGCTGAGAAGGAGATTGCAGTACAACAGGTGTGTTATTGACATCCCAGCGATCCCACTCCATGCAGGCTGCAGCTGTAGTTAATGTGGCCGTGATTGCTGGCGGTAGTCATTGTCCACGGTTGCACAGTGTCAGGGTGCGAAATTAACGCGAGTCCTGATTCAAATATTCCCTGATATACTGTCGGATTCCCTGTTTTGACATATGCAGGAGTCCGTGTGACTCCCTGAAAATTCTGCTATACTAACTAGTTCGTTCCAGAGCACGGCCTCGCGGAATGTTTCAGTATTAAAATGCCCAAAGAAAAGTGGGCAGACGTGCAACCTTATGAACCTTCAAAATAAGCACATGCGTTATTGTTAATATCTTTAGTTTTGAACTTCAGACTGCGGACTCCCTCATTTTGCTGCGGACTCCCTCTTTTTAAGGGCAGGGAGTCCGTTGGACTGCCTTGTTCACAAGTTAATTTATACCCTTGCAGTGTTGTTACTTGCAATCTCTTGTGGTGGTGAGGTGCCTAGTTCGTGCTAGCTTAATCATTATAACGATTTTGTAAATCGTTATTCTTTTTAAATTTCCTAGTTTTAATGACTGGAGGAGTGCAGGCATGGACCAGCACGATGAAGCACAGGCCCACTGCACTACCCCCACGTAGATTCAGCTGGCTTGTTATTCAATGCCATAGAGCTATAAAGTTGTGGGATGAGCAATGATATTATAATTATGCAATTTGATTTTTTCTAAATTTCCATCTTTCATCTTGTCATTCAAACGAGTCATGTTTTCTGTGTGTCGACAACAGGCATTGGCACGTGCACGTGCTGAAAACTCTGACAAGCTGGAAAGTCTTACGGATGATGATTCCAGCCTGCATCATAAGTCTGAAAATCTCATGCCAAAGGTATCGTTGATGATTGTTTAGAATGACTTATCCACATTACATCAAAATTGTGCAGGCCATCTGTGTGGTTAGTGATGGTATATCTCTGCACAGGAAGTACAGGAATGTATCTTAGAACATATTAAATTGCGTACAATATTTATGTACAGCGAGCTTTGAGGGGTCACTTACGGCAGTTGGATTCACCTTTAATGCAGTGGTATTTATTGTAAAGCAGACCATATAAATTCAAATTTTTTCTGACACAGAAAAAAATTAAACTGAGAATGAAACAGTCAAGTAGTGAGTGTACGTACACACGCAAATTACTTGTGTAATGTGTCTCGGGCATTTCACAATCTATTCACGTAAAGCTCTCTCCTAAACAAGACTGAATAGCTAGCTAATCTTCAGCACTTTCTCTTCAGCAATGCGCAAACTGCAACCGAGATTCCTACCTGGAATGCACTGGGTGTCGTCGCGTCAGTTACTGTTCCGCATTCTGTCAACAGAAGGACTGGGTCTCACACCAGTCCGTCTGTCTCATGGTCGAGGATGAGGACTTGGATTCTGACCGAGAAAAGGAGTAGCCGGCCATGATGGCTCCAACCTGCCTAGCAGGCCTCTGTGCTTTTACTCGGCCCTACGACAGTGCTATACAATGCACTGCGTCAAATCCACACAGTCGTCTGTGGACAGCCTTACAACATTCCGATTTTGTTTTGCTGGATTATCCTCAACCATCAACAAATCACTTCATCTAAAGTAAAGTAGAGTATCTGACGTTTATTTTGAGGGGCAATCAGTGCAGAGCTAGGCTTGCCGCTCACGTTTTGAGGGCCTGTGCGACATCATGTAAATATACCTTACACATACAGTTAGAGAGGCAATGACGTGCCTCCCCCATGTAAATGTTGTAGTCATTCGATCTGAGATGGGAGACAGAATCATCACAAAGTCAGCGAGCGCAACTTAAGGATTTTTATATATAAATGTTTTGCAAGATTTAGAAATTGTGTTTGACACTGTGAAGTACATTTTTTCTTGATCCGAGCGACCACTGAGTTGTGCGCGGGGTAGTCGTGTAGATGAAGATGTAAATACGTAGATATTGTAATGCCTGCTCAACTTGTGGCATAATAAAAGACTTAAATAATCAGTAGTGTTGTTCAAATTGCTCTTATTTATCAGATTGATGCTTCATATATGACATCATATTCCCTATTATCTACTTCTGATGACATTCATAGATATAAACCTTACAGGGCTCATGATTTGGGATGGATGGAAGATCTAATATTGCACAGATTTGAATGTGCATCGAGTTGGTTCGTGTGTGAACCATGTGTTTTTCTAAATGATTAAATTTTGCTCTACAATTCTTTCTCTGCGGTCTCTCTCTCGATAGGCAATAAATATGACTAAACTTGGCAGCAGATGGCGTCAAGGTCGTGCAGCACATTGTAATGGTGTACACTGTAGATGGAGAACATAGGATTTTATGTGTTATCTATTGTGCAACGCTCTTCAACACTCACACTTAATATTATATATATATATAGATATATAGATATCTAGTGTGGCCCCGTTATAACGCAATCGTTGAGGTTCATAAAATGTCATCACGAAAAAAGCAGGGTCGCGCTAAATCTGGGTTTAAGAAAATCGTTGTATAAACTAAACCCAATGTTGACCTAAGCGAACAAAAGCTAACAATGCGTGCAGTCATGTACACAACATACACACAGCAACAAGTCATGTAAACTTATTCAGTTGCGCGATCTATAGGCGATCGTCGCTTCGACCTCAGTCGCAGTGAGTTGCAATGCATCGCGTCGCGTCGCATTCAATTGCAATCCGACCTAAGGCCGGCTTAACTCACCAAAAAACTTTTTAGTTCCGGAAAGAGCACAAAAAGGTACAATGACTCATCGCGTTATATCCGAATTCGTGTTAAATCGGGGCGCGTAAAATCGGGGTTTCACTGAATATATCTAGGTATATATAGTACAGTAGATTAGAAAAAAATCGTTCAAAATGTGAAAAAAGTATGAAAATTGGTACACTTGCATACTTTTGTATGCTCTTTCATACAAACACAGGACACACGCGATCCAACTACAACTTCGGTCGCCATCTTGAATTCAAAAATGGCCGCCGTCATTTCTTAAAAATAGCTATATCTCGGTTAATAATCTTCGTACAGACTTGAAAATTTACTGAGCGACGTAATTTGGTTTACTGTTTCATACAACAACGTGATGCATGTGATCCAAAGGCGTTTTCGGCCACCATCTTGGATTCAAAATGGCCGCCATAAAATTACAAACTTAGCAATATTTCCGTTCACGGAAGATATAAAGACGTGAAAATTTGCAGACTGGCGCAGGTTAATACCCAGCCGGCCAAGTCGACACGTGCCGTATCCAACACGCGTTGGAAACGATGGAAAACCACGCATTTTCAACGTGCCGTTCTTCAAGTAAACGCGACGTGTACAGAAGCAGTTCAAAACTCACGCGCGCGAGCACGCACGCACGCACATAACAGATAGCTATACGCCCGCGAGAACGCACGCACGCACGCACGCACATAACAGATAGCTATATACGCGCACGAGCACGCACGCACATAACAGAAGCTATATACGCGCGCGAGCACGCACGCACATAACAGACACCTATACGCGCGCGAGCACGCACGCACATAACAGGTACCTATACGCGCGCGAGCACGCACGCACATAACAGGTACCTATACGCCCGCGAGAACGCACGCATGCACGCACA